GGGGGGTTACACAGTAAACTTGATAGACTGTATATAAATGGCCAATGTGGAAGTCCCTGAAACCTGTAATCTCTCAAATTAAGAGCAGAATGCGACTCCACTGATTGCAAAAAGCTCTCCTCACTTAAATTATATTGTGAGTAAACATATTCATCAGGAGTTTATCAGACTAACCTTAACCATAACCATCTCCAATTGCCAAAGCATCGGTTCACAAACCAGTTGGTAAAGACAGGGAGGGTTTGGTAAACATGACCACCTCTAAAGGCGGCAGTGCTGTGGAATGGTCGCATGTTTACTATTTAAAGGGTTGTCAATCAACATGTTATTGACAGCAGTTTCCATATTTATGTTTTGTTTTTGTTGTGGGGTTTACCTGTTATTTACTTTTCTATCAGGGGTTGTTCCCTTTGGGCTCATTGCTAAATACCACAGGAAACCAATCTTCCTTCTCTTTAGTTGTTTCGCACATCTCAAAGACATATAGAGCTTAGCTTTTGCTCAGTTATTGCTTTGGGACAGGACGTCATGTCAGCAGGGCAGTGAGCAACCTTGTAAAATGTTGACGCAGTGTTAAATGTCGGGGAACAGCTTATGCAAGGTTTTAGAGCAAGCAGGGAACTGTACGCCCTTGCCTGTCATGTGAGACGAGGGAGAGAAGTTTGAGATCAATGGGGATAGATTTCCTGCTGAAGATTGGCTTTGATGAGCTGAGCTGTCGGTGTTCATACAGGTGTATTGTCTATAGGTCAGCTTGTTTTTGTGTTTGTTTTTGTCCTGACATGAGTGTACAAAGTATTGAGGTATGCTGACTTTTCTCATCAACATGCTGTTCATAATTTAAAACATTTAAAAGAATGCCATCATCATCGCTTCACATCATATACATGTATTATCCCATAGGACTGAAAACCAATAATATCTGTCACTACTGTATATTAGTCTTCTGTTTGAGGACAACAGTTAATAGACCAAATGAACAATTGACTGATTTCTAAATAATAAAAAAGCCATCAAAATGATTTTTATTTCAAGCCCTAATTATATTTTTAATTTCGCAGTAAAACAGTCTCAACACATTTGGGCTGGAATTTGTCAATTAGGTGATAAGGTATCAAATTATTCTTTAACTAGTTGATAAACAGTTAATCAGTCAAGAGAGAGAAAGAGGGGAAGAACATTAATGCAAATTTAATATTTTTATTATTTACTTTACTATCTAACTATTTTTAGAGAGATCAAAGCATCAATCAGCCAAAAACATAATCAGCTGATCATTGTAGTAGTTAATTGTTCGTTGTAAACCTACAACAGATATACGCTACCAAAATTCACAAAATAACAGATTAGTCCTCAACATAATGCAAAATTTCAAAATTAAACCTGGCATGGCTTCTTACAATGTCAACAATAGCTTTAATCTGAAAAAACTCAAAATAAGGCTTCAACAATCAATCAATGAAGAAGTTAAGAAACCGTGACACTCAGAGGGAGAGTTTATCCCCTTAGGTTTCTCCTGTTGGTTTAGGGTGACTGCTTTGGCCCAGGTAAATATGACACCCTACGAGGGGAAATCCTAAAGTCTACTTCTGCATAGTAGCAAACTGTTGGCTTTTACTACTGTACTGTAACAGATAATAATGCTAAACAAGCCTATTAATTATTTAAGAAACTTGTGTTTCTCTATATTACCATTGTATCTTGAGAATTGAAAAAGCACAGGGAGAAGAGATACAGGTGGTGGAGTTGTGTCATAATCAGACCATGGACCTTTGACTTGTTTATTTTCCTCTATTCAGTTCTCTGTTTTGTATTCATTCAAATGTCCATGTGCACTCTCCTCAGTTTGACACTCATGGTTGATCGTTGCTGTGCAGTAAAACAACTCTTGTCTGTAATGATTCTTGATTTGGCAACAGAATCCAGGAAAAGATACACAAACAACAATACCAGTAGTTAATAATGAAATATAATGATTTACATATATATGAACAGAAACTGTAAAACAAATAGGGTTTGGCTTTATTTACCTTATGGTACTAAAGATAACACACCACTGGGAACAAGGCTATATAATTGTCTAGAGTTCTTAGATTGTAGCAGTCTCGAGTATCCTTTGGATTAGTGGGGAGTGTGATGTGCTGAGTGTTTTGTCTCAAACGCTGTTTAGCTGCAGTGTGCTGCAGTGTGAGTTGGACCTGTGGGACCAATACAAGCCTCAGGGCTGTATGCAAGTAGGAGGGGAGTCATGGTGAACTAGAGCAGTGGTGCGATGAGAGAGGCACTATCATTGTAACCACTCTCTCTATGCTATGTTTCTCATGCATCACAAAAATCTTTTTGTGGGGACACACCCAGCATCTGAAAATACATTGGTCCCATAGATAAATTACTTGTTCTATGTTCTATGACTGAAAATGAGGGGGAAAAAACACATTCATAATAGGGCTGAAATCAAGCTTGAGCATTCCCTCTTGTGCACGCAGTCAGGTTGAATACTTGACGTTGCTCCCTTCGTCTGTGGTTCCTCGTATACTGCTGCTAACAGCCTTTTTTTGCAGATGAGCCTGCAGATTTGTTGTCGTTGAACAGTAGGGTATGACAGTTGCACGGTAGAAAGATGAAAAACAGCTTTCGCTTTGTATACTTTGCCATCTATGCTTAATGGCTTTGTATGCTAGCATCCTCCATTTTCATAACAAAACAAGAGGGCATGCAATAGGTCAAGCTGTGAGCGCCCTCTTCTGTATCATAAGGCAAACTACTTCAGATGGTCTACTGCGCTTTCATCGTCTAATGCGACATTACTGTTCAATAATGAACTATAAGACCCACAATAAAATGAATGTTTGAATTTCAAGTAAAAATGTGACAGCTCTAGTGTATGATGGTCTAATTTAGTATTTTATTTTGTTATGTTTGAGAGGGAATTGCTGGAGAAGCTTTTTTATTATACTCAGGCATTGCTCATGTTTTCTTTTCTCATGTTTCTGCCAAACTTCGTATTCCCCTGGAGGAACGAGTTCACGAGTGTTGATCATTTGCAGTTTAAACTCTCATTTGGCTTCTCTCTTTATTCCCTCACTCCAACATTTGGCCAGATAAGTCAATGAATCTCAGAAGAGGACCCAATAACATGTAAGATGTTTGAGTTTTTGTTTACAGTCAGCTGTTTTTGAAGATATTCTGTCACTTTCAACAGTAATTCATACATAATCAAGTGTAAATCTCTTGATATGGTTTAGTGTCATGTCATGGGAATCAAAGCGGATTAGCTATTCTGTTATTTTGTAAATAGCTACCACTATTGATATCTTCAACACACCTTACACTTTTTATAGCTGTCTGAAGGAACCACTTCAATCAACACATTCCCCAGTGGCTGCAGTGAAAGAGCTGTCATACTGACACTATACCGCTGCTGATGTGTTTTCTGGTCATCTCAACCAACTGCTGAGTCGGGACAGTAACCTTGAGGCTGTCACAAGGGGACTAAGGCTATGAGGATGATATCTGACACGTGGTCTTGGCTTCGTGGCAGTTGGTGAAGCCCTGCTGACAGTTTGGAAAAATACAGCTGAGCTAATGTAGCTCCTTCCCAAGGTCTGCTGTAGAAATGTTATTGCATGCCACGCCCTCTCGTGTAGCCATACATTTGTCTCAAACAATTGAGGTCCAGAACATTTCCTATGCTAGATGTTGATTTGAGCTAATCAAATGTTGCAATAATTACACATGATACTTGTACATTTTGGAGTAGCACGGTAGGGCTGTACATTTTTCCAAAATTCATTTGAAACAACTTTGACGTGCAATTTGTTTGAATTTATTTGGGAAGGTTGAACACTGTTCCGCTCTTCTGTGGTGCTGCCTCACTTTGATGGAAAGCTCACAGATGAGCCTGCAGATTTGTTTAAGATTAGGGCAGTTGCATGGTACAAATTTAACAAACAGCCTTACCTTTGTTTGTTACTTTGTATCTATGCTTGGAACTCAAAACCCTCGCCTGTGCTGCTTCTCAGATGCTTTGGTGATTGTCCACATAGGCTGGTACTGTCCTCCTTTTTCATAGCCAAACAGTCATACTGTTAATAGGTCAAGAGGGTATGCCATGGGTCAAGTTGATAGTGAGCGCCCTCTGCTGGATCTTGAGACAAACTATCTCAGATGGTCTAATGTACTTGGAGACTGTATGTTTTCAACTTTAACCCATCATTACACCTCGATTCACACTGGCACACACATTGGAATGAATGTTCAAATTTCAAATAAAAAGGGACAGCAGGGTGATACAATGGTTTATGGTAGTGCAATGGTCTGTGTGGAGTTTGCATGTTCTCCTCATGTCTGCATGAGTTTTAACATGCAGATTTGGGTTAGGCTAATTGGAGACTATAATTGACCATGAATAGTTGTCTCTATATATATGGCCCTGTGACGGACTGGCGACCTCTCCAGGGTGTACCCCGCCTCTTGCAAAATGTCAGCTGGATTAGTGGTATAGATAATGGGCGGATAGGTCTATATAAATGCATCTCCAATCCAACATCATCTTCACTATTTATTTATTCGTGCACTGCAGCAGTGGCAGCTGGTTGGAGTTGCGGTATCACAGTTCCATCGTCTTGCGCTCTGATATGAGATTGTGGATGTTTGTATCACGGTTTCTTTCCCAGCTTCAGTTCCAGTCCTAATAATATCTATAGAGAGGTGAATGTGGATCTGTGGCAGGTTTAGACAGCTTATTGTCATGAATTTGAGTCCTCATTTCAGAATCAAATCAACCTCTCACAGTGTCCCTCAGCTGTGTTTCTTTTCTCTCCAGACATTCTCTCACTGCTGTGACCCAACAATCCTATTTGACCTCATAGCCCCTCATACTCTCTTCACATGCAGGCAGGAGACAGTTCAAAGCACAGTATTCATGCCGAACTGTGTGTCTTCATGTGGGATGTCAGTTTGATGCTCAGCTTGACGCTCTCTCTCCTTTTGTGCTTTAGGTCATCGCCTGGAGCAAATAAACAAGCTGCTCGTCCTACCTACGGATATCAGTAAGTTAGCTTCACTGTGCCCTCCCAAATTATTACAGTATAATGGTGTACTGAGTACTGTGGTAGGAATAGTGTCAGGAATAGTCTCACAAGACCATGATTTCAGTCCTCCCAAACTATAGAGATGGTTAAAACTAAACTATATTGACAGAATGACTTCTCCCTAATGTGTGTATTTCTGTGCACTGTTGAACTGCTGCTGGGTATTGAACAGGAATAGATGCAGCAACCTCTGGGCCCCAGAGAGCTTCTTAACCTCGCTGTCCACTGAGTCATGCCATTCAGTGATACAAACAAACAGCTAATGAAGGAGATGAGGAGAGGGAGTGTGACTAAAAGGATGGAAAAAAATGGAAGAAAAAGAGCCAAGAGATTTTGTTCCCTGGAGGTTGATTTAGAAAGGTAACATGGAGATTTTTTTTATTGCATTAAAGCTCGTATTTGTTATAAAAAGCAGAACACCTCTCCATAAGTAATGCTGTTGCTGCAGTCCTTGTGGTAGTGCTAGAACACTATGTTAATACTTTAAGGCATAATATCAGACTTGTTCAGCTTGGGCATTATTATATTACTGCAGTGGCCGACAGAAACAGAAACAACCGGGGACCACACAAATTTGGTGATATGTGTGTTTGAACTTACCTCCACCAAGGCTACTGTCCCATCTCGCCATGTCAAAGCACTATTTCCCATTAATTATCTTGACTGTGACCGGCCATATTCTAATTTGTCCTGCCACAGTTTCATAATGAATACATGGCTTGGCTGCGTGCTTGCTCACGCTATTGTCCATTATCTTTTACAATAGTCAGGTACCTGTCACTCAGAATCTGTTGCGTGTTAGAGTGACATTTTTGAGCGTGCACATCCCCGGACAAACAAAGTAACTAACTTGTGTGCTTATGGACGAGGAGGCAGAGCATCATGGGAGAACTTGGCTGAAGACATATTGTACAGTTGAGCATCATGTTGTGAGCTTCTCAACGCAGCCTCCGCTCATCATATATTAAACGTCATCTACAATATTCATCCACCCCGTTACAGCGTCATCCTCCCAAGAGAGAGAGAGCAACAGGGACTGTATCATGCTGACACTTTTTGATGCATCACGATGTGGACTTGGACGACTCTGCATCGATGCAGTGACGGAACATATTCGATTCATGTTCAGGACAGACTCTCGTTAAATGTCTGTCTCCTGTCTGAGTGTCCTCCCTCCACTCTCCCGCTGACCTGCACTCACTTTACACTTACACAATAAACACCAACACCTGAACAGTACTGATGTTTATTTTCTGTTTGTTTGATTCACTTTAGAGTTTATGAGGCACATATTGAAACGTGTTCACCGTACGCATGTGGTTCATGAGAGAACACGAGATGTGCACCGTCAGGACGTCAGGGTAAAAGTGACTGGAATGATCTGGATTCATGATCCAACACCATTGATTAATAACTAAATGCATGTGGTGATCAGTTTTTGTTAGCAACAGAGATGGGCAGACACACACACAGGCTGCAGACAGGAGAGAAGTACTTCCTGCAGATTATCACACAACACAGTTTTTTTTTTTACTTCATTGTTGCAGAACAAGTGACACCCCGTTTATCCAGGAACATAAATATTAATTCAGCAGGTTTATATAAAGATCAGCTCTAAGTGTGATTGATTAGAAAAGAGCAGTGGAGCAGAATCTCTTGTTGTTTCAGTGAGGTAATGCCCCTCGATGTTGCCAGGCCTCATACAGTAAAGGCTACAGACGCAACACACTTGAAGTCTAAACTGAATGAAGGTCAAATCAATGTGACACTGACCACTGTTGTAGACTGACTGTTGTAGTCTGATTTTGAATTGAAAACCTTATTTTGTAAATTACAGCACACTTGTAATAACAGTAACAGTCTAGAATACTTTTTAAAGCACAAATCATGAGGATAGTGAAGATGAACACCTCTCACACAGTTATAACACACACAGAATTTAAATTCTTTGATGTATCGAGATGCATGGATAACCATTCTTTCATGAAATCATAGCCCTCTGAATTGGAATCGAATCGTGAGGTGCCCCCCCTTGCTGACACTCATAATCTTTGTTATTCTATCCACTTGAATATCACCCATTATTGACCTACTTCTTCCATCCATTTCCCTTTGTCTGTATATTCTGTTTTCTTTTGACTTTGACGTCATCCTCTGTGGAGGGATTAAAGAGTGACAGGGCGGGGCTGTTTGTTCTGACTGGTTTTGAGTTGTGACTCCAGAACCAGATTATTGACATGAGCCTCACACACACACTCACACTCGAGTGGGTCCTTAATCAGTCTCAAAATAGGTCCCCTTCCATCTGCATGTCACTGATAGTGTTTATGGGAAATTCATGGTTGTTATGAATTCATACAGGGAACTTAGCCCGAGACTAGTTTTGAGGAGAGCTGCCTTTTGAATTTGTGTCAGCACAGTGATGTGTGCTCGCTCTGCCAGCTGCTCAGCTTCACTTATTCTGATTAAATGCTTGCAGAGGGAAGGACAGACAAAGAATCTGGTGGTTCCCTAACTTGTAATGAATCATGCAAAGCCTAAATGTGTACAGTAACTGTATTCTCAGAGTCACTGGGGAGTTTGATGCCTTGCTAGGAAGTTTTTGCTGTGTTTGCTGCATTTTTCTTGTCTTATGCTTTTCTCATCATGAATATTTAAAGAAATATATCAGTCAGTCAGTATTTAGTGTATATATCCAGTTTTATTGTTTGTGTACATGCATTTCAACCCACAAGCACAAAATGTTGGAGGTTGCCATAAATGTTTGAAGTCCTCTGAGAAAGCTGTGAACTAAAACAATAAAAATGTTATAGTTTCCATCAAGCCAGTCTGACGTAGCCCTGCTCAGGTAGTAGTCCTGCAATTTTGGGTTCTTAGCTTAAAATATAACTAAATGAATATTATAAATGTTCCCAAATTTAATCTTACTCTTTCATTCAAATATTTATTAGTTGTACCTTGATTATAGTGAACTGTTTCTGCTTTTTATTGTATTGGTCCTCATGTCAAGGCATGTGCCATAAGTCATTTTTAGTAACATTTTTATCCAAATGTTAACTGCACTGACCCTCAATACTTAAGCGATGACTAAATAGGGGAAAGGTCCGCAGTGCAGTTAGACCTGTGGATCTCCACGCAACCACACTGAATTTCAGCACGTTTGGAGCAAGTAGCACAGAGTTATTCACCCTATGGTGAATATGGGTTAGGGTTGAAATTAGGGTTAGGGCTGAAATTAGGGTCTGGGTTAGGGTTGCAGCCAGGGTTAGGGTTAGGGTTGCAATTAGGGTTAGGGTTGCAGCCAGGGTTAGGGTTAGGGTTGGGGATGAAAACCCATTGCAGATCAAGATATTCTTGAGTAACTTTTGTTCTGAAGGTCATAGAGACTTGGAAGTTGGTTCCATCTGAACTAATGTGGGGATGCCCGATCCATTGGTACCGTCGCCGAGCTTCTATGACCTCCGGAAGGGGTCAAACCACCAGATCTCCACAAAAAGGTACACGATATTTGTGAATAACTTTTTTTCTGAAAGTCTTAGAGACTTGGGCATTTCACAGATAGTACATGGGAGACAGCCACGCACCCACACCAAATTTCAGCACGTTTGGAGCAAGCAGCGCAGAGTTATTCATCCTATGGCAAATAGGGTTAGGGCTGAAATTAGGGTTAGAGTTAGGGTTGGGGTTGCAATTAGGGTTAGGGTTAGGGTTAGGGTT